CGGCCCCTGCGTGAAGTGCTGTAAGGACTGTGATTGCGGCAAGGGGAGGAAGTGCGTCCAGGGACAGTGCAAGCTCCCGTGCTGCCCGAAGGGACTGAAGCGCTGCCTTCCTACTGGTCCGTGCGTGAAGTGCTGCAAGGACTGTGAATGTGGCAAGGGGAAGAAGTGCGTTCAGGGACAGTGCAAGCCTGCGTGCTAGCACTGAGTTGAAAGGCGTTTCAGTTTGCCTGCCGGGAAAATGCAATGTTGTTTTCCGTGAAGCATTGCTATAAACGAGTTGAAGGGCTTTGTTGCAAGGGACATCGGGGTCTGCAAGTTCGGGCATTGTTGCAAGCGACATCGGCGTCTACAAGTTTTGGACCAAACTAACTATTGAACATAGTATAGGCTTGCGTGGAGTCTGCAATACGCATTGTTGCGAGCGACGTCGGGGTCTACGGGTTGAACTGGTGTCGTAGCAAACACTAGAGGACTGGGGTCGATCACCATTCACCGCGATCGCCTCCCCTAGATTACGGTCTTCAGTTTTTTTATGACGACATGGAGCTAGGCTCATGACCAACAACAGCCGAGGCGTCGGAGATGTTGTGGAAAAGTTGCACAGACTCTACTACAGAGAGTGACGGCACGGTGGTCTTTGTTTACCGCAGTCATGTGGGACCTTTTTTTATTTTATTTTTGGAACCTGAATACGGCTTTGGCTCGGTTGTCGGGTAATCGGTGGGTAGAGAGCTTCCGATCCACTACTAGTAGAGCAGGCACGAGCGCGGAGTGACATGGAACGTAGTCCTACTGTTCTTCTGCAGATTGTTAGGCTTGACCCCAACGGATCGAGCTTGATCTGCTTTGATGCTTGCTCTTGTCATATTGAAATAAACAAATACATTTTTTTAGCATTCTCACCGGTTACCGGTGCTCGTTTCTGATGTGGTTCTTTTCTGCGCCTGAAAGTTTTTGATGGTTCTTCGGTCTCTACATTTATGGATTGTGACGAATCGCCTCCTTATGTTCCCCTGTTTGTTGATGGAACGCCTCCGTATGTCTTCCCCGTCAAACTTGTACCTGGAGATGCCTTTCCCGGAGGCCTGATCAGCGTCGATCTTTTTCTTTCCGGCTTTTTTGTTTTCCTTAAAGTCTCTGGGTCTTGCCGGAGAACATGAACAATTCCATTGAATTCGGCTTTCAACCTGGGGGGGATATGATACGGGGAGCAGTCCCAATTCCCCGATCCAGCGTGGGGTTCGATGGCACAGAGTGATAACGCATTACAACATTGCGTAGGAGTGAAAGGTAGAAGCAACGTACGAATTGCATGGAAAGAGTAGACAAAGTCGGGAGGGAGATGAGAGAAGAAGAAAGAACGATGATAAATCCCAACCCAGCGCGATTGGGCTGCTTGGATAAACTGGGAAACAGCCAGTTCAACGAAGTCGCACCACCAACTTGAAGCGCCATAGTCATGATTAACTGGGCTGGTTAACCGAAACGTGTTTGGGTCAGTTCGACAGAACCACCCTCGTCAGGGCTATGGGCAAGGCATGATGAAAGGTAGAACCACCCTCCTCAGGGATATGAGGAAGAAGTGATGGAAGGTTGAACCACCCTCCTATGGGCTATGGGGAAGGCTTGATGGAAGGTAGAACCACCCTCCTCAGGGCTATGGGCAAGGCGTGATGAATTGTAGGAAAGTCAGCACGTTATGTACTAATCTAGAAGTCAAAGATGCCAAATACAACCCACGAACAAGAAAGAAAACGAAGTACTCCTTCACAGGGGTGAGGAGGAACTGTTTACAGCAGCAGTGTATGGGTCTTTCATTTTCTCGCAGCTATTGTAGTTCGAGTACGATTGTACAATACTTTTTTGTATTCAGGAGAAGATGGACTTGACTTCCAGCAGATGATGCTCCCCACTAGTATATGGACCGGCTATTAGCGGCTAATCATAGGTCTACTAGGGAAACTGCAGGGCCTGCTAATAGGGGACGTTCTTACCGACCACATGAGCTGCCTCCGGGCTCCAATGATGTTAAGAAGAAGAAGAAAAAAGGGAACAAAGAAAAGGAAAGAAAAGGATACAATCTGAAACAGCAGTGAGATAACGCCTAGTGGACTGCATGAACATACCTTTTCTCAGAAAGTCGGTACAAACAGGGACGCTGGACCCTATTCCAGCAGGTGCAGCTCCCCACAGATCAATGGAGCCACCAGAGACAGAGATTGGCGAGATAATTTAGCGGGAGATATTGGTAGAGTGATGGAGAAAGAGATTGTATGAACGACTCCTAGGGGAGATATGAGAGGGTTGACATAGACGGGCTAAACTGTACTCGTGTGAGATTCCAGAGGAGCGATCGACATAGGGATCACCAAAATGATTCGCGAGGCGGGTACCAGAGATCCGATCGCGACAACGCGATTTCAGAGAGAGTCTCAGGGAGATATGATCGAGATAGAGATCGACGAGACGATTCCGGAGGGAGATATGGCCGAGATAAAGATCGTCGAGATGATTTGAGGGGACGACGAGAAAGAGATGTCAGATCTGCAGATATTACAAAGGTAGGGATGAGAAGGTGCACACTTTCTTCGTCAGATCTCCAGATATTACAAAGGTACGGACGGGAAGGTGCACAGTGGTGGGGTGTGTGCGTGTGAGTGCGGAATGATCGAAGATCAGTAAAGGCGGTTTCGATAATCGAGAGGACGAGTAGGAGAGAAGAGGGGGAGAAGAGGTAAAAGAGGACGCACCTGGTAGTGAAGCTGTCGAGTGCTCCTGCAATCGTTGATGGCGTTGGCAACCAAGCGGGCAAGGATTGTTGAGCGCTGGCTGCGCTGCTAACTGTAATGTGCAATTGAGTTTGACGTCGGGAGAGGTAAACACGCTGCAAGATGGCAGACACTTTGGGAATCGAGCTTGCCGTGTAGCTTTCAAGATGGTGCGATAAAGCAGCGAGACCTGGCGAGCGAGAACACGCGATGATATCTGTGAGGATTACGAGGAAGGAGTTGGGAAGGGAAGGAGTTGGGAAGGGAAGGAGGGAGAACAAGAAAGCTAGAAAGCAAGGATTGGCAGTGAGTTCAAAGGAGAGGAAGGAAATTGACACAACGGGACAGGACGCAAGCAGAATTGAGAAGAAGATGTTAACGAAGATGGTTTATGTAAATGTTACGTCTCAATTAGAGATCCCCATCAACAAGAGACAAACATACTGAATCGTGACTCCGCTTCTACGCTAAAAATAAATTAACCAGGTACTATCCATCTTTATTGATCACTCCTTTCTTCCTGCTTAGAGGTTACGGTTTGTTCTAGTCATCTTTTGTTGGAAACGGCATTATGGCCTAACGACCTGGTTAGGAGAACGAAACAAGATTCAAAAGAATTCAGGAATTTCATCGCTGCTACACTGTTAGCCATGCTCTGAGCAAATTAAGGGAGAAGCAGTGGTCCATGTTCTGAACCGGTTGTGAAATCACTGAAACGACCAATTCAGAGGGTTGTGAGAAAAATGGGTGAGAGTGAGACTAGCGAGGGTCAGAGTTCTCCTCTTGATCACGTCTTTTCTGTCAAACATACTGCCATTTCAATGTTGAAAAAGGAGCGGTGACTCTGATCTTGATCTTGGACTAGTAGCAAGTGAACAAGAGAAAGTGCTACAGGAAAGCTGATCGCTTACCGATCAGGCGAGTTCCAAGCATTATATGTGCAAATCACATTTCAGTTGTTGCCAATCGCCCGATCTGTCTGTCTGTGCGCCTGCCATTTTGTCTGCTTGCATGTGCGCCTGCCATTTTGTCTGCCTGCCTGTGCGCCTGCCAGCTTGTAAATGTGTCTGTCTATCTGTCTGTCTCAGTGTATTCGAATTATTTCTTTGTGTCTGTCTTTCATCTGCCTGTCTGTCTGTCTGTGTGTCTGATTGCCTGTCTGTCTGTCGCTTGACCCATTTGCTGTCTGCCTGTCAGTCTGTCTCTGCGTGCAATGCCTTGGGTCTGTATGCCAACCGCTCTATCTGAATGTCTGTGCGCCTGCCAGTTTGTCTGTCTGCCTGTGCAACTGCCATCTTGTAAGTTTGTTTGTTTGTTTGTCTGTCTGCCTTCTCTGTGTGTCTTGTCTGTGTGTCTTGTCTGTCGCTTAGTATCTGTCTGTCAGTTGTGCCCCCTCCCCTCCTCCCCTCCCCCCTCCGCCGCTCCAACCCCCACTGCTCCCCCTTCCGCAACTGCTGACTCCCCTTCTCGGGAATCTCGGCTGCACTTCTCATCCCCTGCTCCACTCCTCTGCCGCCCCCCCTCATACTTCATTGATTTATTGATTAGTCATGCCCTGCTGCGTCCACGTCCAGAGTCCGAAATCAGATCGATCACGGAAATGGTGTCACTTAGGCAACCGGACGAGCCAGTCAGCCGCACCTAGTTGCCTCTGTGAGGCGATTTCAAAATGGAATTGATTGTGTAATAGATTCCGTTTTGAAATAGCCTCACAGAGGCAACTGGACGGGCCAGTCAGCTGCGCCCAGCTGTCTATGTGAGGCAATTTCAAAATGGAATTGATTACGTAATAGATTCACTTGCGGAATTGCCTCAGAGAGGCAACTGAATGGGCCAGTAAGCCATGACCAGCTGCCTCTGTGAGGTGATTTCAAAATGGACGCCCAACTGCCAAAATGGAATCAATTACGTAATCTATTCCATTTCGGAATCGCATCACAGAGGCAGCTGGGCATGGCTGACTGGCCTGTCCAGTTGCCACTGTGAGGTGATCTCTGAATAAAAATGATGTAATCTATTCCATTTCGGAATGGTGTCACAGAGCAGCTGGGCGCGACCAATCAATCAATCCAGTTGCCTCTGCAACAAGATTCAAAAATTGAATCTATTACGTAATTGATTCGCTTTCGATATCGCACCGCAGAGGAAACTGGGCGGGCAAGCGGACGGGCCAGGGCCTATCTAGTTGTCTACACGGAACGGTTTCGAAATCGAATTGGTTATGTATTCGATTCGATTAAACAATCAATTAATCAATCAATTAATTAATTAATTAATCAATTAACCAATCAGCCAATCAGTTAGCCAAACAAGTATAAGCGGGGGGAGGGGAGGAGCGCCAAATGGGAGGAGCGCCAAATGGGAGGAGCGCCAAATCGGAGGAGCAGCGGAGGAAGGAGGATCTGAGGATCTGGGGGGATCGCCAAAGGGGAGGAGCGGCGGGAAGGGAGGTGCATCGGAGGAAGGAGCAGAGGACGGGGGGAAAGCGCCAAAGGGGAGGAGCGGCGGAAAGGGAGGAGCAGTGGAGGGAGGAGTAGCGGAGGGAGGAGCAGCAGAGAGAGGAGCAGTGGGGCGATGAGCAGCAGAGCGAGGAGGAGCGGAGGAGGGGGAGGAGCAGCGAAGGGGCTGTCTCTTATACACATCTAGATGTGTATAAGAGACAGGCAGAGAGAGGAGCAGTGGGGCGATGAGCAGCAGAGCGAGGAGGAGCGGAGGAGGGGGAGGAGCAGCGAAGGGGGGGGGAAGGGAGGAGTGGCGCAGGGGGAGGAGTCGCAGAGGGGGGAGCGGCGGAAAGGGAAGAGCAGCAGAGGAAGGAGAGGAAGGGAGGAGTCGCAGAGGGGGGAGTGGCGGAAAGGGAGGAGCAGCGGAGGGAGGAGCGGAGGAGCAGAGGAAGGGAGGAGCACAGAGGGGCAGGAAGGGCAGAGCGGCGGAGAGGGGAAGAGCCTGCAGAGCGGAGGGGGGAGGAGCGGCGGAAAGGGAGGAGCACCGGAGCGAGGAGCAGAAGAGGGAGGAGCTGCGGAGGGTGGAAGAACAGCGGAGTGAGGAGCAGCGGAGGGAGGAGGAACAGCGGAGGGGGGAAAGTGTGGCATACTCAGTACCACACGGGCCCAGCAGGGCCCGACTAGGTAGACTAGGGGTACGTAGGTGTAGGGCCTGCTTCGTTTCAGCTTTAAAGCCTGAAAACGAGGTCCTACAGGCCCTGTGTTGTTTCAGCCTGAAAAAAAAGGGTCCTCCAGGCCCCGAGTCTTTTTAGCCTGAAACGGAGGGCCATTTTCAGGCCCTCAAAAATCGACCTGCCCTGAAACTTAGGCACCAGACCAGGGTTTTAGCACGGGCCATTTTGGGCCTGTTTTCAAGACAACCTTCGTTTGAACTTCAACGCCACGGTCTGGCACGTTTTGGCTTTGGCAAGAGCAGCCTCCTGGACGGGCCAGCACTATATAAGACTGGCCCGCCCTACAGGTTAAAGAGGGTCAGGAGGCAGTTCATAGGAAATTTCCCAGGCACTTCACGCGCAGGAGGCAGGAGGTAGTCTTCAGGATTCGGCAGCAGCACTCTGGAGGAGCGCTGGAGGAGTAGTAGTAGCGTTAATAGCTACTAGTATTCAGCGTTGGGCGCTAGTAGAAGCTAGAGTAGCATGAGAGAGAGAGAGAGAGAGAGAGAGAGAGAGAGAGAGAGAGAGAGAGAGAGAGAGAGAGAGAGAGAGAGAGAGAGAGAGAGAGAGAGAGTTTTTCTTCTTCCTCTTCCAAGTCCACCATCTCTTCCTCACCCTCTCGCTACCAGACTTCTCAGTATCTGCAGACTATGAGAGAGGGAGATTGGTGGCTTTGGGACTTGGCGGCATTTGGATCCGGACTCGACATTCGGATTCAGACATTTGACGAGGGATTACTTAAGACTGTACCGAAGACTTGGTGTTGAGGGCATTCCCATCTTCCCCTCTTCTTCGTCTAACCCCCCCCTCTTCTTCGTTTGTGTATAGTTGGGGACTGACGCATTCTTCACACGATGGAATGTTGATGATGTATGTTTGGTCTGCATGGCAACATTGATTGTTCGGATCATTGGTATTTAAGTTTTCCATTGTGCTATCTTGTACTATGTGAGAGAGGCCGGTTCTTGTTCTGGTTTGTATCGTTACGGTATGCGACAGGAAGGGAGGTCTGGCGGAGCGGGAACGGTTGAGCGGTGGAAGGTGCAGCAGCGGCTGTGGTTGATTGACTAATTGATTGATTGGTTGGTTGATTCATTGATTGATTTGATTGATTGATTGATTGATTGATTGATTGATTGATTGATTGATCAACGGATTAATTGATTGGTCGATTTGTCACGTCCAGCTAACCCTGTGACACGATTCGAAAATGAAATCAATTATGTAATCGATTCCATTTCGGAATCGCCTCACAGAGGCTGTTGGGCGTGGCTGACTTGGTCATCACAGTTGCTTTTGTGAGGCGATTCCAAAATGGAATCGATTACGTAATCAATCTCATTTCGGAATCGCCTCACAGAAGCAGCTGAGTGCAGCCGACTGGCCCGTTAAGTTGCCTCCGAGCAATTTCAAAATGTAATCCATTACATAATCGATTCAATTTTGGAATCGCCTCACAGAGGCAACTGGACGGACTTGTCGACCGCACTCAACTGCCTCTGTGAGGCGATTCCGGAATGGAATTGATTACGTAATCGATTCCATTTCAGAATCGCCTCACAAAGGCAACTGGACAGACTTGTCGACCATGCCCAGCTGCCTCTGTGGAGAGAAGGTTAACAACAGTCGTATTTTTCATCACCATTTCATGACACCCTTCACCACTTCAGGATATTGTCTGCCTAAACAGGTGGTTTTCAGGGTCTTTGGACCTTTCACCGCTGCAGGACCATTCAGGTGTGAAAATCCCGAATGGTCCTGAAGTGGTGAAAGCTCCGAAGACCTAGAAAACCACCTGTTTAGGCAAGTTGCATCCTCAAGTGGTGAAGGGTGGTTTTCATGGTCTTCAGACCTTTCACCACTTCAGGATCATTCAGGATTTGCAGACTGCCCAAGACTTTCACTTTACCACTTCAGGACACCCTTCACCACTTCAGGATGCAGCCTGCCTAAACGGGTGGTTTTAAGGGTCTTCGGATCGTTTACCACTTCAGGGTCATTCAGGATTTTCAAACTGTCCAAAACTCTCATTTCATAATTGTCATTCCTGAATTTTCAGCTATTCAATAACCGCTTGTGCCTCTGTGAGGCGATTCCGAAATGAAATTGATTACGTAAAGGATTCAATTTTGGAATTGTCTCACAAAGTTAGCTGGGCGCGAGTAATCGATCAATCAATCAATCAATCAATCAATCGGTCAATCAACCATGGTCGGTGCTCCACCTTTCACCGCTCATTGGCGCTCAACATCCCCCCCTCCGCCGCTCCTCCTTTCTTAACTGCTTCTCCTCACTCCGCTGCTCCTTTGCCCTCCGCGGCTCCTCCGTTCCCCCCCCGTCCTCTCCTACCCCCTCCGCTGCTCCTCCCCCTCCTTCGCTCCTCCTTGCTCCGCTGTTCCTCTTCCCTTTGCGGCTCCTTCCTACTCAGTTGCTTCTCTCCCCCCAGCAGAGGAAGGAAGAGCAGAGGAGGGGGGTGGAGCGCTAAAGGGGGAAGCGCTAAACGGGAGGAGTGGCGGAAAGGGAGGAACAGCGGAGTGAGGAGGAGCGGAGGAGGGGGGGAAGGGAGGAGCATCGAAGGCCCGACGGAGGGGAAGGAACGCCGAAAGGTGGAGTAGAGGAGGGGGGAGGGGTCGCCCACGGAAGGTGGACGAGCGGAGCGGGGGGGGAAGGGCAAAGACGTGGAGGAGGGAAGAGTCGTGGAGTGGAGGGGGAAGGAGCGCCGGAAAGGGAGGAGCAGCAGAGCAAGGAGCAAAGGAGGGGGAGAAGCAGCAGAGGGGGTAGGAGCAGAAGGGGTAGGGGAAGGGAGGAGCACCGAGGGGGTACGAGCGGAGGGGGGAGGATCCTTTGAGAGAAGGGGGGAGAAGCCCTGGAGGGAGTGAGGAAGAGCGGAGGAGGGGGAGGAGCACCGAGGGGGTACGAGCGGAGGGGGCAGGGAAGAGAGGAGCGGCGGCGGGAGGAGCCACAAAGGAGGTAGGAGCAGCGGAGCAAGGAGGAGCAACTGAAGGAGGAGGAGCGGAGGAGGGAGGTAAGGGAGGAGCAACGGAGGGGGGAGGAGCGGTGGAAAAGGGAGGAGCAGTGGAGCAAGGAGGAGCGGAGGAGGGGGAGGAGCAGAGTAGGGGTTAGGAGCAAAGGGGGTAGGGGAAGGGAGGAGCCGCGGAAAGGGAGGGGGCTGCAAAGCAGAAAGGGCAGGAGCAGGGGTGGGGGGAGGAGCAGTGTACTGAGGAAGAGCATAGGAGGGGGAGGAGCAGTGGAATTAGTAGGAGCGGAAGGGGCGGGAAAGGTAGGAGCGGAGGGAGGAGAAACCGCAAAAAGGGGATTGATTGATTGATTGATTGATAGATTGATTGATTGATTGGTTGTGCCCAGTTGACTTTGTCGCGCGATTCTGAAATGGAATCGATTACGTAATCGATTCCATTTCGGAATCACTCGATAGAGGCAACTGGACGGGCCAGTCGGCCACTCCGAGTTGCGTCTGTGAGGCAATTCCGAAATGGAATCGCTTACGTAATCGATTCCATTTCGGAATTGCGCGACAGAGGCAACCAGGCACGACCAATCAATGAATCAATCAATCAAATATTTATCCATCAATCCATCAATCAATCAATCAATCAATCAATCATATAATCAATGACGTATCTCCCTAGGTTGTTCTTGGTCATCTATTACAAGCCCTATCTCGTCGGGGTTTGCTCGAAGTTTGTGATGCAATACTCCTTCCGGGTAGTGAAAAGCATCCCATACGTAGTCTTTCTTCTGCAAGATGTATCTTGTGAACACCTTCTTCCTCTACGTCCATAAATTTGTTATGTGGAACTTTTGTCCGCCTTTGACTCTTATGATTTTCGCAATCAAGATGCAAAGTCCGACAAATTCGTACTTGCATGCCGTTGTCAGATAACAGTAGAAGAACAACCCCTGCTGCGTAGGCCGCATAGCCCACTTAGACCCGAGGAGATAAAAAACTATTAAAAGTCAGGCTTCATCTCGAAGAGCGTCTGTGTTAATGTGTACGTTTTCTCTATGTACAGGTAGGTGAGATTATAGTTGACTATCGATGTCCTGGGCAAGTTCTACGTAGGTTGGTTCTCCTTCTCTTGCGCCTGGACTTCTTCATCCCCTTCCGCTTCTCTTACATCATAGTCATCGTCCTCTTCTTCCTCCTCTTCCTCCTGCTCCGCCTCGTCTTCAATATCTTCCTCCTCTCCTGGGCCGGTGGCCATGGCACTCAACGAGTGCGAGAGGTCGAAGGCACCCCCCTCGTCCATTTCGGTGTCCAACAGTCCTCTCATCCCGCTGGCGATTTAGGTCGAGGGTCTCCCACAGACCTCCCTCTTCGTGCTCTACCCCACCGCGTGGGTTGCTCCCCTTGGTCACTGTCCACGCTTGGTTGACGACTAGTTCGGCCCGCCTTGTGCTCCCTTTGGGTGCCTTGGCCTGGTTCGCTGGGTTTGGCCTGCCTTGTGCTCCCTTTGGGTGCCTCGGCCTGATTCACTGGATTCGGCCCACGTTGTGTTTCCCTCAACCTCTGCCCGTTCACCTTTCGAATTTCAAAGATTGGTTGTTGGCCCTTGATTTTCCCCTTCTTGGCCCCAGTTCCAGTACTATTGGTAAGCCCTTGAGCCTCTTTTTTTCCTAACCCTTGCGTCCTCAGTTCAAGTTCCCCGGCCTCTATTGCTGACCATAACAACCCGTGGCTTAGTGTGTCCTCCGCGTATTTCTGGCGGTCATAAAATTGCAAAAAACGTTGGTTGACTTTTTTGTCGTCTCTTCACGCTTTTTTCATGCGTAGTTCATTAGCATGCCCCTGCTGGCTGCCTCCCCCTAGGGCTTCGGAGGGAACTCAACTGTCGATTCGAAAAATTTTGTGGAAAGCGCACGAAAATTTCACATGGCTCTTTCCCACATGGGTGGGATTTTGAAAAGCCTTTTGGGGCGCGTTGCCTAACGGTTTGGACTTCCTA